AGACAATAAATAAAAGTCGTCGCTCATGTATGCCCTACATACACCCTTTTAAAGGTACCCCCAAATTTGGGAAACCCTCGCCTGAGGGTCACGGCCCTGCAACAAAAAGCGGCAGCAGCAACCCCCAATAGTCATTCCCAATACTATTACTATGATCCTCCAAAAAGGGGCCGTGCTGTATGGCAACCCCCAAATCTATCACAGCATATTGGTCCAGTTGAGGTTTTCAGCCATTTATCACATTTCCACAGTTCAAGATCGGGGCTTGCAATTATGGATTGCTCCAAAACGAAAATGTTTTTGCGGGTGTGTGAAACTGGCGGGACCCACAACTTGCAAAACTGTTCATTCAGCTGACTTTACCTTCAAGGAGACCCTTGAGATGGCCGCAATCAAATGCTGCATGCAGCAGGCACGCCGCTGATGCTGGCCGTGTTTGGCTCTGACGCCACACTGTTGCAGGCCATTGTGGCGTGACCCTCATGGAACCATGTGAAATGATGAGTCCCCAGAGTACTCATACGCGATTCTCCGAAAGTAGGCGCTGAGTAATGCCAGAGCAAACTAGCGATAATGTCATGAGAGCCTTGTGATGCGAATCATCAATTGGAGACTTCCCCACAAATACAAGTAGGCCCGGGCAGCAACTGAAAGGCTAATGACCTGAACAGGCGTACCCTTGCATTCCACTTAGTATGAATTTGGTGGCATAGTCATCACAGCAGTGGGCAGTGAGTGGCAATCCCAGCAGAAGTTGCAAGAAGTGAGCAAAGCAAAAGCTCATGGGCGGACATCAGCTGAAGCACACAGTCACTCTAGTGATGCAAGCAGCGCAGCACCAAGAAATGCTGGGATCATGCAAATGCAAACCATGCTCAAATACAGGGGTGATCGATTTAGCCCCTTAAGTGGCAGGTAGGTTATCCAAACCTCTAGCAGCACCCCAAGCATGAATTCGTGGTGGGAGCTTAAACTCAAACCCTGAAACCTAAAGGACATCTTGCACAGAACATCCTAATGCATGGCCCTAAAGTGCAGCTGACAAAGTCCACAGCCGACAAACCTCTGAGGGGTAGAACATTGTAAAACCTTAAACCCTTAAAGGCCCTCAAACCCACGAAAGCTTGCACATGCAGTTGCAAAAATGTGGCAAAACAACCAGCCTAAGATCCTATCCCCACCCTGCAAGCCCAAAATAGGGGAGCCCATAGATCCCTAAGTGCATCAGCCGTCCACTGTCTGCATGGGGTTTGAGATATGTACTGCCTGCCTGAATACTCCTGCGTGTAGCGCGCTTTCTGGCTTGGACTCACAGGTTGGAAAAAGGGGTTGTCAAAAAGAACCCCAAAACCCTAATCCCTAAACCTTAAATTTATAGCTCATGGGAGGCCCTGGCCCCTTTGGGCCTTCCGCCGCCGGGCGCCCCCTGCCGGGCATTTGCCGCCATTGGCCAGGCCAAAGCTTCCTGGGTGACCCACGCATCCTGGGAGACTGGCCTGGCATTTAGTTTTAGGGTTTGGGGGTTTAAGGGTTCAGGGTTTAGGGGTTTGGGGCTTAGGGTTTGGGGGTTTAGGGTTTAGATGTTTGGGATCACTTTGGGTTAAGGGTGTTTAGGAGTAAGGGAGGGATTTGGACGGAGTCAAGGGGAGGGTTTGGGATTTAGGGTGTATGGTTTTGGGTTTCAAGATTTTGGGCTGAGGGTTTATGGCATGCTAAGTCCAAATTGAAAAAGGGTTTATGGCTCAGTGTCTTCTGCAAGGATGATTTAGGGGCATTGCGAGGGGCAATTCTTGGGACATTCAGCCGGACGCTACTTGTGGCAAGTCAAGTTCTCATGGGTGGGGCGTTCGATCCTTTAGTTCGGAAAGCTGACATTGTCACGTGGTAAGTGCAAGGATCAGTTATTGAGAGCCTGGGTGGTACCCTTGTAATGACGCGTAGTAGTGTGCACGAGAGCTTGACAAGGCGCTTTCAGCAATCAGGACATGATTAGCAGAAGTCTAGGGTTCAATCAAATCATGTCCGTTTTGAAAACCTTCATCAAGAAGAACGTGAGGGGCCCATAATTTTGCCGGTTGGTTTTGCCTCCTCATGCGTGCTAGTGGGGCTTTCACAGTTCCAACAGTTGTCACGATTGTGGATAACATTGCTGTATCTGTTTTGTGGGTTGGCAGCAAGTTCTATGACTGCAAGTGGTTGTTGTTCTATTCCTCTACTAGGAATGAATCTTTCTCCCATTGTGCTGCCTCTACAGTGCGACTACTTCCACTGGCTTTGCTGTTGCTACCTTACGGGTACATCATGGCTACGCGTTTGCACTGAAGGGGCAGCGACCTTGCTTTTTCTGCAAGCTGCAGCATTTGACTTGTTGTACTTCCGCCAACTTCCTGCAAGGATGCTGCCTATGTGTCCGTCCCCCTGCGTCGAACTGCAAGCTCCTGAAGCATGTTTATGGAGCGCGTGTCGGAGGAGTAAAAAACAACGACAGCTGCTTTCATGGAGCAAAGCATCAGGACTTGTGGTTTGCTGCATCAGCTTGCACATTTTGCATATATGTATGCACATATGGCCTTCATTTTGTATGACGCTGTATACGCTTGCATACGCATGTGCATGTCTGAGTGGCACGATCTCAGGCATGCATGCCCCACCAGCATACTGCATACTCCTCCACGAACGCCTGAGGCAATTCGACGTTCAGTGTCCATGCGTGGTCCGAGCCCGCGGAGAGGCACCACACGCTTAGTTGGAAATGGTCCCGACTAGGCATGAATAGGATTGCAATATAAAAGATATTTTGTAATATAGTATAATATGTACTGTACACGATATACTGTACTATATTAGGATTATATTATAGTATATTACGATATAGTATATTATACTATAATTTAGAGCCCGCGCTGGAGCCGCTACATCACCTGGCTCCACTCGCTGTCTTGATGCGGCGATGGGCTCATGAGTGTTTGGCAGAAGATCCTAAATGCCCGGGTCTGTGCTCATGCTGTGCCTGGCGGTTGAAGCGTTCAGAATTTCATCCTCACTTGCAGACCTCCCTCAAACAACCTAAGCCCTAAACCCTACCCGAAACGCATAACATCCCAAGAGACCAGCCCTGTCTTGCATCATGGAGCTCCAACTCCAAGTGCTCTGGATTTTGTTGCCATTCTTCCTTTTGGCCTTTCGGGTCGCAGACGCGAATCTTGACGCTCGGCAGGCTCATGACATATGGGGTCTGGGGTCCCTTCAATGGGGTTCTAGGAGTAACATAAGGGGATACGCTTGTACAGGGGGATAGAGGGTTGTAGGGCAAACCCAGAGATCTTCTAGCTTCTGTACCCGCACTACAAAAAACTAGATTTGGCAGTTTCCCAAAATAGGAGAACCCCAATATAGACACCGAAATAATACAATCCTTGTCATAGGGACCCCAACAAGATACCCCTGAGTTTGGGACCCCTCATGTTAATCCAAGGCAGGCTTAGCCTAGAGTCCCCTCCTTCCTCGAGTATCTTTCCTAGGTGGGAAAACGCCCAAGTCATAACCAGGTTATAACCCATACCCCTACCTAGTGACTATTGTAGATAAGACCTGAGTTTCCTAAACCCCTAAACCGTTTGGATCCAAGGAGCAAGAGCTTTACGACCAGGCTCGGCAGAGCCCTCGGCTGACAAAGGTCGAGGCCAGCCCCAGGGCTATCCTGGAGCCTCGCCTGTCATGGATGTTTCGGGGAATATCTGGGTAGGCCCCTGGGATATTTAATATTTTCCCTAATGGCTTTAATAAGGGACCCTATATACTAATATTTTTCAAAGGGTTTTAGGGGCCAACCCAGATGTGAGGATTAGAAGGGGATTATAGGTGTTCCTATTTGGGTTGTTGTGGTCAAGTTTATTCCGGCCGTCTATGTTTGTAGCACGTTCGGAGATGTCAAAAGCCTTCCCGGTTTGCCGAACATTCTTTAATGCGTGCTACGCAATTTACTGTGGAAGTGGGCTAGGCTGGTGAGCTTCTGTTTCAACATCATGGAAGCCTGCGAGCACGACATTCATGGTGTATGCAACCTGAAACGTGCGGGCATGTCACTGAGAGCAATCATTGCAAACCACGCTGTGTTGCATATTATGGTTGCGCAACTTTGTTGCAAAACATCTTGCGCTGTTGCATGGCGCAGCTTTTCTCTAAGCTGTGGCGCGTTCACGGAGCAGCGGTGTTTAATGCATAAACTGCTCGATAAACATGTGCAGGGAGAATGCGTCAAAATTACATGGTTGCCATGAGTGAAGAAGAGGGATGGGCTGAATGCACCTCTCAATTTGCCAAGGAATTTGTTGAGACCAAGCGGCGGATCGCCAATGTCGCGATCCTCCTGCATGATGCGAAGTGCCCGCACTGTCGGAAAGCGCTTCCGGAACTAGACCGCGTTGCGGAAACCTTCCGGTCGGAAGAAGCCACTTGCATGCTTAGTGGCTTTGATTCAGCAGTTGCTGCTCCAAAACTGCCAGCTACGCGCTCTGGATGTAGGCTGTTCGGGACCACAGACAAGAGCTCTGCATTCAGATTCCATGCTTTCGACGGCAATGGCTCAGGTGTTCCTGGCACATGCGGACTGCACTCGCAACAAGAGCAACGTCCAGAGCGAATTCGGTTTGAAAGGCTTCCCAGGTTTTCTCTTCTGGAGACAAAGCGATCCGTTGGACGAATTGGTGGGTCAAGCCGCTGCAGGAGACTCAGGATTTTGTTTGACCTTAGCTTGAGACGTCTCATGAACAAGTGGCGGCCCTCTTACGACCTGACCAAGCCTGGAACCTCAAAGATGATTTTTACCGTAGACCTGTGCAAAAATGTTGGTAGTCTGTCACAGATTTTATAGGTTAAGTTGCAGCTTTGGTCTGGTGGAGGGTAGCTGAGGCAGTTGACGAAGATGTCGATTTCATGCTTCGGGCCAGTCGCCTTGCTGAGATCGGTAAGGAGAGGCGCCCCCAATGGTCAGAAATCAGAAGTCTGCTGCAAACAAACATAAGGATGCTCCAAGAAGAATCTTTGTGGAAACCCCGCTTATAAGATCATTACTAATCCTTTCCCCTTATATTCAACCCCCCGTATTTATTTAATAGCCCAGGCCCGAACAGGTACTTAATATTGGTGGGGGGGATTTTATTTCAAGAATTTGGTAGGGCTGCCTGTAAAGTAATTTAGAATCCATGAAAAGGACCTTAACTAGATACAGTAACTAGTAAATCACATTCATCAGCAATTGGAGGTTTAATCAACTGAGACTCTTTATTGATTTAACCAGTTGAATGATTAACTCATACTTTCAGAGCCCCCCCAAATTCATTATGAGGTAGCCCCTTTTGATTAGGTTGTCTTGCCCTTTTGTACGTGCTCTTCCAGATTATTATGCCCCTGAATTTATTTCCCACTATACCGGGTGGTTTTGATATTTTGGAAAACGGATTAACGTGGAAATGATATGTATATTTAGCCTTATGGCGCCCGTGATCATGACCGTGTGCTTGGAAGGAGCGTGACGGCGCGCGTCGCGCTTTGGCAGGGGAGCAGGTGACTGTGAAGGCGATGGATAGCAAGGACATGACCGTGCAGGCCCTGGGATGACTGCTATTGTTAGTGTTACTATTGTCATTACTAGTATTGTTTGAGTATAGTATATTATAGAATATTATAGCATGTTGTAGTATATCTCAGTACATTGTAGCACATTGTAGCATATTATAGTATATAACTAGTATTGTGACTTTCATAATTTTCATTATTGCCGTTATTATTCCGCCTTGAAGCAGTCAGGGAGGCCCGTTTTCTCATTTCATTTTCCATGTTCTTTTCTTCCGTTTGATTCGCCATTATTCTCCATGTCTGTCGTCAGCATTACTACTATTGTTATTCTTATTCTTCTTATTCTTATGGCTATTTCCAATTCTTGCTGCGGGCTACGCTGACGCAACAGGTGGAAGGCCCCAAGGGCCAGCTGGTTTGGATACCACACGAGACGCTGCTGCTACAGGGCCGCCGCGTGCCCTACAGGCCCTGGGGCCCGGGTGGGGGCGTGGGGGGGTGCTTGTTAGAATGTAGAGTTTTTTGAGGTTCTGAAAGATTATGTACGGATGTATAGGGATTAGCACAGGGCAGAATGGCATAGTTGGATTTGGTGCGATCCGCCTGAGGCGTGGTGATGGGTTGGCGAGATACAAGAATGTCTGGGAGAAGGACGCCTGCATCGCAAGCATGTTGGAATGTTTCGGGGCAGCCCCAATGCAGCTGCAGAAGCTTGGTTGGTCTCAGGGCAGGCCGCAGCCTTACTGATGGTTTATGCAGATGTAGAGAGTGGTCCCAAGATGGTTTTCGTCTTGTTTTTGGATTTTGTTGTTCTGTTAATTTGGCCAGTGTTCTGCATCTGCTGCTGGGTCCAAGTTGAAGGAGCCCATGACGGAGTTCTTGCAGAGGATGATGCAGCCATTAGTCGCATCCTGAGCCTTCAAGTACTATGCAATCCCCTCCCCCTGGCCCTAGTAATAACTCCCTCGCTATGTGGTACCATTGTATACAGGAGTGAACATGTAATATTCGGGGGAGGGGCTTAGATTGTTAAGGTCTTAGTTGGAGTCCAGCACGTTCTTGATGTAAACGCACAGGTCGCCAGGTTGCCAGGGCCTTCGTTGGCAGCCTTGGATGGCGATCGCCCAGCGCTGCTGCTTTGTTCGCAGACGCTGACGCGGGGCTTCCTTGAGGCCATCAACATATTTGTGTGAACCATGTTGGAATTCGACCTGATAAAGATAGTGTGAGCAGTTTTTGGAAAAAAAACGAGAAAACAGGTGGTTTTAAAACCTACGAGGAAATAATGAGGAACTTAGATGGCGTGTTTGTTATTGGTGGCGACGGCGGCTGCGGTGGCAGCAGCGGTGGTGGTGGCCATGGCAGCTGGGTAGTGGTGTTGCTGGCGTAATGGTAACTGATAAAGTAGCCAGAAGGGGAAGGATTGATGGCAGCAGGAGAACTTGCCAGCTCGCTCGGGAGCTTTGACACCTACCTACTGGAGCCTCTGATTTTGGCCAGGCTGCCGTGACGCACCAGCTTGCGATAAGAGCTTTCCACGCCCCAGGCGACTGCCCGCTGCAGCCGGAATCAGGTCAAAGGGCTTGCAATTCACACTTCTGGGCGACACACGGGTTTAGGGGCAAAATGCTAGGGGAGGTGACTTTCGCCCCCGACCGCCCCTGGTATCTCCCGGTGCCCCGCCCAACCCTTGAGGTGAGAAGGTGGTGGTGTATGCTCCAGCATCCACCCAGTGGACCGCAATCAAATCGAGGGCCAGAGCCGCGGTAGCCATGGCAGGCCAGGAGGCAAGGCCACTCTTCCTCGTTACCTTTCTTCCTGGGGATTAGTACGGAATAAGGGGATATAAGCATATAGTCCTTACATAATAATTAACTCCCTCTTTCCCTACCAACCCACGGTAAGTTTTTGAAGAAATAAGTGTCGCCAGAAGCCACTAGCGGGTCGCTGACTAGCCGTTATCTATTGAATCTATTGGTCAGGGTACCCCTGCTGTTGCTTTGGGTTGTGTCGTCAGTCTATGTATGGTTGCAGGCCCCACCCTAAAGAGCTTTCCTCCAACTGATGCGAGAGGTTGTGCAGAAAGACTCCGCGCTGCTCAAGTGGGTGTCAGAGCTCTTGGGACTCAGATTGGTGCGTCCTACTCAGATAGCAAGTGGCGTGTTTGCCACAGGCATGGTTTTTCTTTGGGGGTCAGTATGTGGCATTCTGTTTTGTTTGAGGGGTAGGCGCGTATGCGCAAGTCTTCTTTTTGCACAGATCTGCCACTTGTCCCCCTAAACATTCTTACTACACTACTGTTAGTGGTTGGGGGCCTGACCCCATGTGTGTGGCTTGATGCGAAGGCACCGCCTCCCTGGCATCACCAGGCTGGTGCTCAGCAGCGTCTACTTCTTTTTGAACTCCGGCCCTACTGCTCCGAGGCTGCATATATGAATTCTTCCATGCCCAAGTGTGAGACGGACTCGGTCACGGAGCGGGAGCAACTTGATGTTCTTTCTGGCTCATATCTCAGGTACTTCTTGCAGTGGACCAGGCAGACCACGAAACCAACATAATGGTTGAGACCAAGATCCGTGAGGCCTGGCAAAGCAACACTGCCCGGAACGAGCCTGTATATGGAATGGATTAGAGTGGCAGAGTAGCAGTTTGGGCCCGGTGCTTCTGCCTGGAAGGTCATGAAGCCAAAACGAACTGGCGAGGTAGATCTGTACACTCAGGCAGAAGGAGGCAGCCGCCCGGCTACAAATTATCCGCGCAACAAAGGCCAACGGTGACCTCTAACAAATCCGCGACATTGCTGGGCACGGTGCTGGTCCTGGCTTGCATAGATCTGATTCTCACCAAAACAGGGATCCCCTTTACACCGAAACGCTTAGAATTCTTATCGCTGGGACTCTGCAGGATGGGTTCCCAGTTTTCTTGGCACCTCTAATCTGCCCAAGGATATTTCGGCGTTGCTGATGGGACTTTGCCTGGCTTCACCTACTTTGGCGTGTCACCTGACCACCTTCCTCGGGCCACTTGCTTCAACAGCAATGGATGCAAGCTTCAGGGCTTAGGGGTTGGGCCTTATTGGGATAATGGAAAAGAAAATGGAAACTATGGGAATTATATAGGGATTATATAGTGGATATATTGGGGTTATATAGGGATAATGGAAAATAAAATGGAAACTACTGTAAAGGTTAGGTTGGATCTGTTGAGGTCCTCTGAGCTGACCTGAGGTTGTCGTTTTCGATGACTCTGATCACTGGGTGGAGGATGCGCAATATCTGAGGGTGGAGAAGCGTGGGCCTCATTCAGGTTCTGGGGTAGATTTCGCCATAGACCCGCGCTCCTTTGTCAGACTATCTGCCTTCAACCGCCGAGGCTGGCTGAGCATCTTCCGCGCGTTGCAAGGATGTGGAGAGTCAGCAGCACACCTCGAGGACGCAGCGGATGTGATGTCCTCACCGAAAGCTGAAAGTCATAGGAATGGGAACGATAACCTGCGCCTCTGCCTTCCAGGATATGTACTCTGGGTTGCGAAAAAGTTCGTGGCCTTCTACCTCAAAGCAGAACCTCGACTGAATGTCAAATTCATCCAAGAAGGGTCCAGCACAGAGCGGAAGTCCGGTCCCAGCTAAGTGGGTTTGGAACGGAGCATAAAATTCTAAGTAGATGCATCATCCACACTGGTCGCTCACCAAATTCAGGGCCCAAATTGAAAATTTATGTCCTGTAGTATAGACTAGTATAGACTCCCTGGCTCACCCGGATCACTCTGCATGTGTACAGACTTTCAAGCTCTGAACAACCGCATCAGAATTCTCTGCTGCATGCTTCAGCATATGACTGCTGTGGTGATTGGGTCGGAAGGGATCGGCTGGTGGTGTTATGCCTGTCTGCAGATGCAGGCCCCAATTCCTTTGTGAACTCTCTCCGTATGCCGTCAGATTCCGTATCTGGGAAGAGTCACCAAGTCTTGCCGTACCATATGCCTGCGGAATTTGGGCAGTGTTTTTTTCAATGATGAGGTCTTACGTTTATGTTACTTACCTCAGGAATGGATAGTTAAATGGAAAATGAAATGGAAACTACAATTTAGGGGGTTAGAGTTTATCAAGTCCAGGTGGACAAGGGCTGAACGCAGGGACCTCAAGGATGCACCCGGATCCTAACATCAGACCGCAAGGTCCCTCTGAGGAATTTGGAAGAGGTCATGTTTAGAGCACCCCTACCATGTGCTTTAGCAGAGCATCCGATGAGTGATTTTGGATAAATCAAGCTGGCACCCTGAAGATTAAGTAGAGCATCCCAATTAGCTTTGTAGAAATCACCCTGAGAAGCCCCACTTCCCATGCTTCAGGGGTTACATAGGGAGAATGGAAGCGGACAATGGAAGCTACTACAATAGGGTATATACATATATATTGGGGTTATATAGTGATGGGGTTCAGCTTCAGGGACTGCAACACCCGAGGATCGGGAGGCAGCCGCTTTGGCGGGATACTCGGGAAGGGTCCTGGTGGTGCTGCTGACACTAATTCTGGCGTGGGCGCAGGCACGGGTTGAACTGCGCTTGTTCTGTTTGGAATTGTTTTTGGGGATGCTGCAGCCCCGACGTCATATACCCCTGTATACTTTTCGGTACTCAATTTTGCTTGGAGTCGTATATTTGGGTACCTCTGCCCCCAAATACAAACTAGCCCAACAAGGAAGGGGTTACTACCTTCAACCGCCACAACCCAAACTCTTTTCATCTCATCCGGGAGCTTGACACAAGAGGCTCTGCTCTGAGGGCACAAGCGTCGCACGATTCTCCCCTTCAGACAGAGACTCGCTGGTTAGGGGGCGCATCAGCGCAGTAACGATCAGTATTATGGCGTGCATCGAATTCTGAGGTTTGGAAAGAGAAACATTGTTTCAGTGGCAGGAAGCTGTTATTGGACTGAAACTACGAGGGTAATGCAAGCTGCCAATGTTAACCACAACAGCTTTTGCTGATGTTGATTGCAACATCGAAACTCAATGTGTCATACGGCCCACATTATGGTCACCAAGTGACCATTAATGGCGGACCTAGGGACATAGGGGCCCCTTCGGTGGTTTGGTAGAGTCTCTGATATATTCCCTCCCAGTATGTTCCTTGACTATGTGGGAAATATTGGCTGTAGATCATGATGGGCATGACCTGCAAAAGTCTCTGTCACTCTGCAAACTTGGCTCGTGCAGGCGCATGCATTGGTTCGCGGAGTGCGCTCCGTCAGCCTCTTCTTTTACAACATTTTAGCAACCCGATTGCAGGCTTGGGGCCGTGCAGGACAGTTCGGACAGCATCGGTCTATGTGTTAAGATTATATTGTAGGATTCCTGTCTAGCCCAGCAGACGACCCGCATCTTTTTAAATCTATGGGAGTGACCATGTCATTCAAACCAAGGAAGGCGATGAGGAAGCGTCGGCAAAAGAGGAGCGTGACAAGAAGGAGAGTAAGAAGGACCAGTGAAGGGGGAGATTTCAATGTACTAAATGGTGTCAGCTGTTTGGGTAGCCTATTGCAAGAAAGCATGGTGCTGCTGTTTAGCTTCAGATTAGACTTCCTTCCCACTCAATATTGATGTCCCTCCTCAAGATCGTGAGAACCCCAGAAAACCTGGGAATCAAACTTGCGAGAAGAGGCACGTTTCACAGGTCGCTCGCCGACCCTGCGAGCGTATCGCTTCAGACAAGAAACTTCCGACAGGGTGATTCTGCAGGTTGTTAGTTCCAGGACATATAGGGGTTATATTGGGAAAATGGAAAAGAAAATGGAAACTACTATAGTATATTGGGGTTATATTGGGTATTGACATGAGTAGAAATGCAAGCTGAGGTCTCGCACTTGCGTAATTTTTGCAGCTTTCGGACCGGTGAGAATAAAGGCATCTTAAAAGTTAGCGCACGGCGCTAAGCGCGTTCTTGTTCAGAAGGAGTACTGCTTCAATACACCGAGTAGCCTGGTGCCCTAGAGGTCGCTCTGCTGTAACAGCAATGCTCTCAGCAGCCCGCGCGTTCCAGCCAATCAGGCTTCCACATTATCATGTCTTCTTAATTCAAAAAGGGCTTACCAAATTCATCCAAATTCCAATTTGCACAGAAGGACGGAGTTCAGGTAACCATGCTGTCACTTTTTCTCCTCTCTTGGGTGTAGGATTCCCTTTTTTGAGGTTATTTTGGTTGGACCACTGATTTGAAAAGGAGCGCTCGACATAGTCCAGGTCCAGTCCCCGCAGATGAACATTCATCCCAAAAGCCCTGTAGATCGCATGCAAATATGGGACGAGCCCTACGCCCCAAACAATGCCAAGCCAAACGGCTTTCCACTGGAAGGACAGACGTAAACGTGCGTGTTGAGATTAAAAATAGGGGTTCCCCCTTCAATAACCTTACTCCCTGGACAATCCCCCCTTTCCGGAAAAACCAAAGGGAGATGTGTAAAGGAGGTGGGAAGGAAGCGCATGAAACCCTAAACCGCCTAAATCCCTAACTCCTAATCCCTAAGCCCTA